TATTAAACTATTATTAATCTAAGGTTACAATCCTTACAATTTTTGAATAGCTTTTATTCATATAACTATTAATAAAATTAATTGGGTATTTCTGATTTTTTGACACCAGAAATTATTATTGCGTTGTATATAATTAATAACAATATTCTGAATATAGATATGTACATTACTCTATATATATATATATATATATATATATATATATATATATATATATATATATATATATATATATATATGTGTGTGTGTGTGTGTGTGTGTGTATATATATATAATGTCCAAATTTTCAAATGTTAATAAAATATGCTTTCTATTCATGCATTCAAGTTCAAATTCATTTTTGAAATTTGCAGTGGATGACATTTAATGTTAATACAGTTTTCAAATGTTAATTCATTAATTAAATTAAAAAAATGAATAAATATGTAACAAATAAAAAATCAACACCATATAAAAGGCAGAAAATCTCTCGCTGTGTCCTTGCAGCGCAATGATGGCGCATTGAACTTCTAATCCAAAGGTCGTGGGCTCGAATCCCCACCTGGGATGGCTTTAATTTCTGAGAATGTGATTTCTTTTAACTATATTATTTTATTGAATAATTAAATATTGGATGAATGAAGTGAATAGTAACAAAAAAATAAAGAAAAATAGTGCAACACCTACATAAAAAGGAAAATGGAAAATTGCAAGGAAAATCCCTTTCCCTATTTTGGTACTTAATATTGCGATTCTGTCATATGTAAATACATACTTATATTAATTGTAGTTATTTAATAAAGTAACTAAAATGAAATTTTCTTTGTTGACGTGTAGGAATTCGACTTAATTTTTCTAAAGTACTTGTTTTTCTGTAAATGCTTGTTATGAAAATAACTAAAGCATCTGTAGGTACAACACGAGGATGCAGATTGATATTTCCTATCCAATATTTCCTACCTACCTAGGAATGGTTTCCCTTTCCTACCATTTAGAATAAATTTTCTTCTTTATTAGTTATTAATATACTTTATAGAATTAGATATAACACCCCTACTACTTCAAGAAAAGATTCCACTTCAGGAAATAGGGATGCCTGTGAAGGGTTCTTCAACTTTGGAAAGAGGTTGAAATCCCAAAGACCCATGTCGGATGGATGCGGAGAAGATGTTCCAAGACCTCCCACATCTACCGTCTCATTATATTGGTTACATTGTGTGTGCAACAAGATAACAATTAACACTACATAACACGATATTGATATTATCTCGCACAACGTGGACGTTTGCTGATGGTGCTGTAGGAAATATGAAATAGAAGTCTGAGTTGAATAGTAGGTTATGCATCTTCCACAACATTTAATGATTGAAACTAATTTCTACGGATAATTTGAACAATCCATCAACGATCTATAAGACCACTCCCGATGTCAATTTAATGTTGATGAATGATAACAGCAAATCCGCAGTCTCCTTCCGACCTAAAGAAACGCTTTGAACCCTCTTGCTACTATCCTATAAGTAAGTATTCTCACCACAGGCTTCATGTAATTCTTGAAAGCATTCAGAAGTATTTCTGAAACGGGCAATTTTTCTTTTAATCCGCGCTGTTTCTGATCGCTTTTTGTAAACATGGTTTAGAGAGGTGAAATGACACTGTCGAGACTCGAACGCCGCATACCTACCCATTCTGTTTAATGCGCTATACACATCTGGCAATAAAGGCACCACATTGTTCCTACATCCCCTTTGTATTCTTATATATAGTCAATTACGTATTAACTTATGATTATATTTTTGGTGTTTACCAACTTTGTAAAATTCAAGACAAAGCTATTTTTAATTAAGTGAAATTTCACGATCTATTTTTATCTTTGAAAATATGTGTATATGATACAACACATGTTACATTTTGGGTGTCCGGGCTTAAAGTAATCCAAAGGTTATGGCTTGTTACGGAACTACCCATCAGAATGTGAAACACTGATCCATCTGTAGATTGAATATGATACAATACATGTTACATTTTGGGTGTCACGGGGTTAAAGTATCCAAGGTTATGGCTATATTATTACAGAACTACCCATCCGAATGTAATCAAACTGTTCATCTGCTGCGGATTGAAATCCCTTTTGAGTTTTGGGGTTCTAGTTCGATCGGCTGCACGTTCACGCATTTTACGGCAATCGCAGACGATAAAGTTGTTACGACTGACTTCATTAGTAAAGATGTAGACGTCACAGCAAAAGGTGCAATGCGTAATTTGGTTAATGGAATTTAAATTAGTCACGCGTGTACAGCGACGCATTTGAACAGAATGGAATGTCGATCCTCCGACATCAAATCTATTCACCAACGTGAAAGAACTTTAAAGGAGACGGAAGAACTTTGGTATCTCAAAGCTGGCGAAGTATCTTTAAGTTCTCGTGATAAAGACACTGTTGATCGTTTGTGTGATTCATTTTGTAGGGAGTCCTGATAAGTCTATTAGCTGAAGCCAGCATCGACATTCCATTATGTTCGAACACAGTCTCAGTCACACGTGACTGATTTAACTCCGCTAACCAAAGTAGGCACTGCACCTTTGCTGTGGCGTCCACATCTTTACTAATGAAGTCCTGACAACAAGCTTATCGTCTGTGATTCGCCGAATAATGCGCACACGCGCGGCCGATAGACCAGACCGAAGTCTCGGAGGATTTCCAATTCACGGGTGAACAGTTTATGACAGTCTGATCGGTAGTTCCGTAATAATAAGTTATAACTTTGGATACTTGATTCCCGGACACCCTGTAATATTGCACATATATCTTAAATATAACTGACACGGTAGGTTATTAATTTTAAATCTGAGAATTCAAAGCAATTTTATCATCGATAAAATTGTTTAGAATTTCAGGCAACTTATAAATATTTGGGCATTTAAAGCAGAAATCGCATTTTTAGAATTTACAACTAATAAAGGAAAACTTAAACAGAATTGGTTGTTATAGAATATATAAAAATACTATTTTTCAATACTTTGAAATGCTTTTTGAAATGATCATTGAATTTAAAATTTAGAAACTTTCTTCATGAAAATGAAGCCAAAATTATGAGTTATATCTGTTTGCTGCCGATACATTACTTGTATTAAACGTGATACAAGTATTAATAGTATCAATTTCGAGAATAAACGATGAGAAAAAGAATTTCAACTTTTCTAGTAAAAAAGAATTACATTTATAAGTAAAGCATTCCAGTTATAAATATAAAAACAATCATCTGCCATTAAGCACTATTTCAGGAAATAGTTAATATTATGTAATGTGCTATATATATACCTATATATATATATATATATATATATATATATCTATATACTCATATATATAGTATTAATACAATAGAAATACAGAAATGTAAGAAAGTTGTATAACCTACAAGACCAAAGAAGAAGAAATTAGATTCACAAGAACATAACAATTGAAGCTACTGAAAAAGTCTTTGGGCTAAAATGGAGACTTATTATGATTTCTAAAGCGGTCGCAGAATTAGACCAACGATTTATGGTTAAGCCGCTTTATGGTACCATCTTCCTGTAGAACAGAAATTTTCGACAGAATAGAAAAAAAGAAGACAGCAGTGTGGAAACTTAGAACTTTTAGTATTAAAATTTGAAATTTCATAATGTTCGAATTAAAATTATCAACATCAATCTGGTTTTCACATCTATTGACTCCGAGCTACAGTTATATGCATGCTTATATGAGTTATTCTTAGTTCAAATATATTACTCGGCTGTACAAGAGCATGACAAAATATGACGGCAATTCAATATTGCAGCCAACCGTTAGTATTCAATATACTATTACTTATGGATAGCATCGGTATTTACTTAAATTTTAATGTGTATTTGATTTTTAACATTGTTTAA